TAGAAACGGAGAGTTAAGAACAAGGCACGACAACTTAGAAACGACGGAACGTTACGGTTAAAAGGGAACGAGAGCTACGAACGGCTACATCGCAAAGACGTGCTACTTGGAGGCCTTCTTCTGGTCGTCCTCCTCTTCGTCCTTGTCGCTTTCCTCGTCGCCGTCCTCGTGCTCGACGAATTCCTCCTCTTCCTGCTCGTCTTCGTCGTCGTCGGCTTCGGACTCCTCGTCGTCGTTACCTGAAGCGTCTTCGCCGTCGGCCGCAGCTTCCTTCTCTTCGTCCTCGCCTTCATCTTCGAACTCGGACCACTCGTCGCGGCGACGTTCCGTACCGGACGGTGGACGGACAGTTGGAACTTCGTACGTTCCTGCGGTGATCTGGGCCATAATGTCGTCTTGAACAAGCTTGACGGCGTGGTTGTTTACGAGCGTCTGCCACGGTTCCTCGTTCTTCTCACCAGCCCAAGTCACGTTGGGCTTCGTGCTTGACATAGTGTCGCGGCGAATTCGTGCTAAGGCAGCAAGGGAGAGCCGGCTCTTCTCGTCTGCATCCGGATTCAGTGCTTCCGTAGACTCGAACAAGGAGCGCATGCTGGGGTACCCGTAAGTGTCGATATTCGACGGGTCCAGCGCGTTCTCGAGCGTGGCGTCGTAGCGTTCCTTGTCCTTCTGCTTTAGGGTCGCTAGGTCCTCGGCAATGGGTCCGTTGTAGGGACGGCCATCGCGTGTGGCTCTGCCGGGCTGGCCCCCGAGCCAATACATCTCAGGGCGCTTCTCCAACATCTCGAGGAAGGCATAAAAGCCCCATGTCTCTATGCAAATACTGGTGAAGGCCCAGCGAGCTTGGACGGCGCGCATCTTCAGCTTACGACGCTGAGTCATGGCCGCTGCAGTGGCAAGAGGAGCGTGTAGGGCCCACTCCCAGAAAGCACGACGATGGGTCATCCAGAAACGCCAGTGTGCGCGGTACACTTGACTGAACTTGATTGGATCGTACCACATGGGACGTCCGGTCCAAGGGTACGCAAGGCGCCAAAGCTTCTTACCAAGGGCCTCTGCCTTCGCCAAGATGGCAGCAATCGCCCGACGAACGGGAACAGGAGCAGAGCGACTCACGTCGAGAAGATGGCCGAACTCGTTGGATGGAACGTGCGCCTTCTTGGGTTTGCTGGCGACGCGAGCCTTCTTAGTGGACGACTTGGAAGTAGAGTCGTCACCGCTGGACTTACGCTTGCCTCGCGCGGGCAACTTAGGCGACTTGGGTGTCTTCTTGGAGGGCGACTTCGACTGCTTGCTCGACGACGTCGTCGACGCCGTAGCAGATCCTGAAGAGGGAGCAGAATCTACCGGCGCGGGGAGGGCCACGACGGTTCCTTGGAGCGAAGCGTCGGTCTGACCGTTCATGATGTCCTCGGCGAGCTGGTCCAAGAACTGGAGACCCGACGACATGCTGTTGGCGCCCAGGCGCGCGCAGCTCGGTCCAGAACTGCTGCTGGAAGGCCCGCGCAGTGTCCCCAGGGGTGCCCTGCTCCTCATGGTCAAGGGCGGCGTTGAAGAACGCCCGGAAGCGCCTCAGCTCGGCGGCGGTAAGTCGTGTGGACATGGTGAAGAGCGGATTGTGAAATGAGAGAAATCCGAAAACAGGAAGTTTTCACTTGATGGCTGCCAAGGGGCACGCGAGAAGGTTCGACAGTTGGGACGTGGCGTCGACTGAGGGACGCAATGATGCTTGGTGACTTGGGCGGACAAGGTTTCGGGTGAAGAACCTTCCTAACGGCTAAC